CATGAATGAATTTTCGTAAACCAATGTTGTAAACCAAGTGTGTGCTACCAATTGAAACAATATATGAGCACGGATATCAAAAACAAGCATGAATTGTCTACTTAAGTTAGGATGTAGTACAACTTTTCAAGTTAAGGTATAAACCATTCAATAAACCCACAATTGTAGCACACATTAATCTAGAGAAATGTACAACTTGCAATCATAAGCATGGATTATCAAACTCAACCATGGATTGTCTACCTATCTAAGAATTGAAATGCATCTACACTTCAATTACACTAAGACAAAGAAATTAAAGCAATTAAACTAAAGGTGTAGAACAATCCATCAAGCATAAGCATAATTCATCAAGTGTATCCAATAATAACCATGTATAACCATCACTAGATTCACAATTTAATCATACATAGACGTGCATCAAATCTAGATAAACTAGTGTAGATACATAACCCTCAATTTAATCACACATAGACATATAACTAAACTAGATAATTAATTGGAAGAATTGAACTATACAAATCATAGACAAAATCAAGATTTATATATTCACAAGGTTAAAACATTCATTACAACAAAGAATCCCCAAAAATGTCAAAGATCTTAGAGTACAAGCCTAGGGCTTTTCCAACCCCTAAGATGGTGATAAGCGCTGAAAAGTGCGCATTTAAACCCTTACTCTTGAGTATTCTAGGACCTTATTTTATCTTATTTCCCCACTTTAGTCTAATTTCATGTTTTTCTCCTTTTTAGGTACTTATCCCCAAAATATGTCAAATCAGCTGAATTAGAGCATTGGAAGAAGCAATCCAAAGTCTAGTAGATAGAAGGAGAAAAGTGGAAGCAAAGTGGTGGAAATTGTCCCTGTTCAATCGATCGAACCATACTGTGATCAATCACACTGTGATCGTTCCAACCCTGCCTTGATGGATCGAGCCTTTGTCCTTATCCTTAGGAAAATTTCCTATTCGATCGATCTAACCTTTTCTTTGATCGATCGAACCTTTTGATCTTATCCTCATAACCACTTTTGTCCTCTTCCCCATAAATATCTCAGCTTTGTCCTTATCCAAATAATTGTACCGCCATGCTTCGATCGATCGAAGCAATAGTGTGATCGATCGAACTGCCTCAAAAATCGTACAAAACAAATTTCAAGCCCAATTGAAGGTGTGCTCGTGGTGCAATCATTTTGAAGGTCCTGGTGCACGAGGTTTGACCATTGGGTGTGACATTTGAGCTACCTATATAAGGGATTTGGTTATTTTTAGTAAAAAGGTTGGTTAGTTAGATATTCTTAACTAGAGATTAGAGAGAGAATATACACATTTGGGGAGGATTCTTCCAATTTCTAGGGTTTTTACCAAGAATACCAAGAGGAGGAAGATGAATCCAATCATAAAGAGAGCCCTTGAGGGTTGGATGACAACAACCATGAGTGGCTAGATCATTCTCTTAGGGCTAGAGATGGCCCTAGGCTTGCTTCCTAAACTTTAATATTTTGTAATTAATGGAGATTTGTGTTGTAATTATTGTATTGACCTCATGTTTATATAAATCATGTTTTTACATGATTTGCATGGTTTAATGCTTCGAATTAATTTTTCAATTCTATTCATATGTCTATGTGTGATGGAATGGGTGATTATGTGCTTACACTTGATTCTTTACATTTGGTGCATATCTATGTATATTAAAATAATGAATCTAGTGTTGGGTCAATGCATAGTACGTGCTTAATTGATTACTCTTGTATTTTGTTTGATGGATTATGCTTATTTCGTGATGGATTGTGTTACCTTATTAGTTTAATTAGTTTAATTTCCTTGTCATTAGTGTAATTGTAGTGTAGTAGCTTTAATTTCCTATATAGGTAGATAATCTATTCTTGTTATTTGATGATCCATGCTTATGAGTACAAGTAGTATATATTTCTCTAGATTTTGGTGTGTGTATTAATTGTGGGTTTATTGAATGGTTAATGGCTTAATTTGATAGGTTGTGCTATTCACTAGATTGATTAGACAATGCATGTTTTTCTTGCCATCCATGCTTAGTATTTCAATTAATAGCACACACATTTTACTTACAACATGGAATCCCGCTAATTTAACAAGTATTAGATGTTTAGTGAGGTAAAGCCTAGTGGTGAACTCTATGTCACAAGTCCCCTCTCTCGTTCTTTACACCTCATTTACTTTAGTTTGTTTTACATTGCATTGTTTTTAATTAATCATAGTTTAGTTCAACCAACAAACCACTCATTTTGATCATTCGACCTACTAATCCAATTTTGATTCCGTAGTATCTTGCAAATCTCTTGGGACGATCCCTTTTCACTCATACTACATAGTATAGTGTTAAGTGGTTTTTATAAATTTTAACTATGATGGCCACTTCTCACACTCACACTTTTCACATCATTTTGAGCACAAGGTCACGGACACACCAGATGGGATTTAACCACTTATGGATGTGTTGGATGTGGTCTTTGAGCCCTCAAGGGCAACCTCCATGCTTGGTTCCATCTTCTTCCTCTTGGTCTTCTTGGTAGAAATCCTAGGAATGATGATGATCTTGCCTCTTTTCTTCCCAAAAACCCTAACTCTAGAGAGAGAATTTATAATGTCTAAAGTTAACTAATGAGTGAATAATTGGTGAACCCCTAACAAATGGTTCATTTTCCTTTACATACAATGCCTTTTTAGAGTCCAATTAGGTCAGAAAATAAGCCTTGAAAATATCTAATCCCGCAGCCAAAAGTTAGGTGAAGATCGGGCGAAGTCGGGAATAAAATAGCTCACTGCCAACAGATCTGCGATCGATCGTGGATTTTGGCAATCGATCGCCAACTTTTACGATGGATCGTGGCTGACGTGGCAGTCTTATCTTAACAACTGCCAACCTTATCTGCTGAGCTGGCGCTAACGTGGACTGTGATGGATCACTAATTTCTTACGATCGATCGTGACTTTAAACGAGGGATGAGGTGGCAGCCTTATCCCTTTGCTGACGTGGTTGCGATCGATCGTGGATACTCTAGGGCAAATTTCTGAACTTTTTTCGGATTTTCTACTTGACTCCAAAAAGGTCTTAATAGACTGTTTTTAACCCGTTTGAACCTTATTGACTTAAAATAGACAAAAACACAAATTAGAACTAAAACGGGAAAGTAAGATAGATGAAATGACTAAACTACCATAACTTAGGTGCTAAAATGTGCAACATTTGAGCACTTATTAGTGACGGTGGTGAAAGGTGATAACGGTGGTGGTGGAGGAAGGTGGCGACGGTAATGGTGGTGAAAGGCGGTGGTGATTGCGACAAAGGAAGGCGGTATCAATGGTGAAAGGTGGTGGCGGTGGTGGTGGAAAGCGGTGGACGATGGTGAAAATCGGTGGCGGCGGTGGTGGTGGTGGTGGAAGGCGGTGGTAGTGGTGGTGGTGGTGAAAGGCGGAGGTGGTTGTGGTGGAAGGTAGTGGTGGTTTTTGGACTTGGAATATGAGTGTTTTTTAGGAAGTTGATTTTTTTAAAATAAAAAAAAAAATACTTGGTAATGGAATGGCCATTCCATAGGTTTAGTTGTGAAATGGATTTTCATTCCAATAGAATGGTCATTCCCACTTTAATTTGCATACCAAACAAAGGAATGGAATGGAATGCAATGGACATTCCATTACATTCTATTCCTGCATACCAAACGCAACATTAATTCTAACTTTTTTGGTAAACCTATTCACGTACTCTTTTGTTGTGCTTGTTGTCAAAAGAAATTTAAACTCTTCAAACACGAAAAAAGAAAAAGGGGTCTAGCATTTGAAAACTGGAAGATCCGATCAAGCATGAAAAACATAATTTAATTCCAAAATTTAGATTTTTTTTTCCTTTGAAATATTATTTTCATTATTGTTAGAGTATTTAATTAGAGATCTATATTTCCTTAATTGCATGTAATGTATGTTTATTTTTTTATTTTGTCATTGGCAATAAATTCACACACGCACTTTGCTCATTTGGAAACTCGAACACTTACCATCCACTTTAGGAGATAGAAGAGATACCATTAAGTCATAATGCCCTTGGCTAATTTATGTTGATATTACATATTGCAAATAAATCATATGTATATTGATCTCTTTTTCCAAAATCTGCATTAAAAGTTATGACCTTTATCCTTCTAATCGTACTTCTTCCTACTTCATTTTTATCTGTATATTTGATACTGAATCCAACTTCTAGCTAGTATCTTACCCTCTCATTAGGGGTGATAACTGGGTGGGTTTGGGCGAATTTTAGACTGATCATGAATGGACGAATCAGTAATGAGTCAAAAACCCATTGTCAACCCATTTATAATGGGTAATAAATTGATTAGATATTAAATGGGCGAGTCAATCCATACCCAACCTGATTATCCGAATATTTTTAAACACAAAGTATCAAATTATTTTTGTTGTTGAATACCAAAAAAAAAAAATTTGTTCATGTAACAATTTTTCATTCATTTTTTGGTCTCAACTATTATAAAAAAAAAAAAAAATTCTCGAATATAATTTACTCTACTAATAATATTATTATTATTATATATATTTAAAAAAGAAGTTTTGATTGTTACAAGTAGGAGTTTTAATTAGTCTGTGAATATCCCTTTTCTTGTATTTAATAATTAAGCTTTGACATATAAATATTCAGTTTTTTTTTTGAAAAATTTAAGCAAACGTATATATATAAGAAAAGGATACAACAAGCAGAATTTCAATAAAAGCCAGCCCAATCCATAGGCAGAATCCAAAAAAATCACCGGCCAGTAAAGAGAGAAATCGAGAGGAGAGGGAAAAAGAGAGGAGAGAGAAACAATAGAAAAGAGAGAAAAAGGGAGGGAGGAGGAATTTTTTTTTTTTAAAAAAAAAAACATATATATGGCTGCTATAAGGAAATAGACTAATCTACTGACTCATTTTCAAATAAATATGAAATCATTGTTGAAGCAAGTTTAGAGATAGAGAATCAATATCCATATATACATGTATATTAGAGTCAGACACACCACTAAATTTATGTAAATAAGAAATAATGATGATATCATCATATTTAATTACATCAATATAAAATTATTCTCTAAGTGGGATACATTCAACTTTCAGACTACTTACCATTATTATACCGATCATGTTAAGTGCATACTAGTTTTGAAACAAATTCCTCAATGTTGTTATCGGAGCTTCCACCTTCATCGACAGCCTCTTTAGCCAATTCTTTCCACCTGACAGCATTGTTTCTAAGCTCATTCCCTCTCTCTCCCTCCATGACTTGTCTTACACACAGCTCAATCTCATCTCTGCTGACAACTCCCTTCTCACTGTCGACCCTGACCCTCACCCCTACATTCCATAAGTCCACAATACATTTCGCATTAGTCGTTTGATCCGTCCACTGTGGCATCGCCACCATCGGCACTCCCAAGCTCAGGGCCTCGAGTGTTGAGTTCCATCCACAGTGAGTTACGAAGCACCCCACGGCCTGATGAGCCAGAACTTCCAGCTGAGGACACCAATTCACGACCAGACCTTTCGAATCCAATGCGTTCTTGAAATTGCTCGGGAGCTTACTCTCTTCGGAAGCTCTGACTACCCACAAGAAGCTGTATGTGTTGCTGCTCGTCATTAGGCCCCATGCCAGTTCCTCCATTTGCAATTCCCCTAGGTCGGCCAAGCTCCCGAATGATACGTAAACAACTGACCTACTTTCCTTGCTCTCTAGCCACTTCATGCATGCTTCTGCACTTGGCTTGAAAAGACTCACCCCATAATCTTTATCGTCCTCTAATCGCTTGTCTAAGTACATTGATGGAATTGTTGGTCCCACTGTCTTCATCATTGGCCACTGGCTAGCAATCGACTTTACTACCTAATTAATTAATTAATTAACAGGAAGCTAGGTAAGTTGATTAATTAATTATGCTAGCTAGAAATACCAGTATACTTACTTGGAATCACAAAGTTTCATTGGATTTTGAGGTTTTTGGCTTACTAGGTAGTACCTAAGAAAATATTTATGCTGTGTTTTAACATTCGCAAAAAAGAAAAAATAAAAAAAGAAATTACTGTGTGTTTGGTGTACCAGGCACATCATAGCCGACCGCTCCCGTGTGTGTACAATATTGACGGTTGTGATGTGCCCAATACACAATGCACCAGGCACATCGAATACCTGCTCACTAACTAACACTTAAGAAAAGTTCTAGGGCAATTTGCAATACATTGAAGTGAATTTATAATTATTATGCATATATAGAGTTTTGAATCTATAGAGTCAAAGTAATGATATTTTGAAAAAATAAAATTGACCAAAAAAAATTAATAATAATATTTTCAATTTATACATAATAAGGGGTATTCAATTCTAAAAGGGAATGAATCCAACAATAACATGATGTTGGATGCAGCAGCCAAGGTCTAGCTGGTGCTATAGAAGCACCAAAAATATCCACCATTAATGTTTTCGTGGAAGTCAGTAAAATTGTACTTTTTGATCTTATCGTCACCAAATGAATGTGTGGTTCTAAGTACTCTTGCCAATTCCTCATATCGATGAGCCTCGGCCGTCATGAATTAAGGTTGTCATATGAGATCCCATAATACATACATACACATACATACGTGGCTCACACCCCCGAATAAAAATCATTTCCTGTGTGTCTCGTGCTATTTCATTTAATTAGATGTAGGTTATAATAAATGTAACTCATCCAATAATATTGTGATATTTTAAGTGTCACTCCATTATTGTAAGGGTCAAGTACGAAAAATACTAATATAATATGTTTACAGTACATATCACACTCTCTATATGTAAAAAATATCGTTAAAGTTTCAATGTGTGCAAATAGATCCCTTCTAACACATTTAAGGTAGAGTTTGCCTAAATTATCTTTATATATACATTTTACATATTGTTTAAAAATACATATTTTGTGAAATGACGAAAATATATACAAAGAAAAATGACGTAGTTTAACACATGAGGGTGTGATACTCACTCTAAGAATACTATATGAGTGTTTTCTATTCTTTATCCTAAAAACTATTATTGTTTTGAATTCGGATACTAATTTTTTGCTGTGTAAATAATTATATATATATATATTTCAAAATTTATTACAAATTGTAAAATTTTAAAAAATTAAATGTATATTATAATTTATATATACAAAAAATCCGCTCACGTGAGTTCCTATGTTACTCCATTCAATTAGTGAAGTATGTTACAATAAATGATAACTCACTTTACAATAATGTTGCAATACAATTTTAAGCTTTACCCATTATTGTAACCTTAATTATCATTTGTTGTAACATACTTCATTTGTTCCAAAAAGAATATTTTTTATTTTTTATTTTTTGATTGTCCCAAAATAATTATCCATTTTTATATTTTACTTTTGAATTTAAATATTCAAAACTTAAAATGTTCACAAAAACAATACATAGCCCACATTTGTCCTTAAAAATTTTTACCCTTCATAAAAGACATTCTGTTTTTAGACAAAAGGAATATTTCACTAACTAAAGGAGTAGTAGGGAACTCAAGAATTGTGGTCCCTCACCACCCACCCATAATTAATAATAATTAATTTGTTTCACCATCTTCTAACCTACCTAGTTACGACGTGGTTCCTATTTTAAAGCCTGCAATAATTTCTTACATGAACATCTGCAGCCAAATTAGCCATACATGTTTAGGTTGGGTGAGAGATTATTTTGTTACTTCCAAATTAAAGTAAATTTAATTAAGTACTTGAATATATAGTATATATCCTATATATAACACACAGCAATATAAAATTAGGTGTGTAAATGGATCATGTTGATGGAGAAACATAATAACCATACATACATATATATACGTACCTCATGCTCCAGCCTGTCAAAGGTGTTAAACAAGACGAAATCTGCTTCATGGAAATTGGAAAATTGGTTGAGTACGAGGGTCAAGAAATATGGATACGAGTCCACGTCATAGACGAAGGATGGTAGATCATTAATTCCGAGCACTACTGGCACTGAAGGCACAGACACCATGGCTGTGGATCCTTGAACTAATTGAAGATGACGATGAGGATTGATGTCGAGGAGAGCCCCTTGATTCACATGGTAGTAGATGGCGTTAACGACGCACGATTGAGTGAAGAATGCAGCTCCATATGCACCCAACTGCCGGGCAATGTCTAGAGCCCACGGCATTGCTGAATCATACACCACCACTAGTTTGTTCTGATTCTGATTCTGATTCTGAATGATGAGCTCCGACAAGCTTTGTGTGACTGCGACTTTGAAACGCTCAAGATACTCGGCAAAGTCGTCTATCTTGTAATTGTCATCAATGCCATCGAAGATGGTCTCTATGTTGACGGAGCTGGCTTCGGCTAATTGCACGGACGACTTGCTGCTACTGGAGGTTGTGGTGACCAGTGTGACCTTGACACCGCCTTTGGACGCTAAGCGCTTCGCGAATTGGAGCATCGGGTTTATGTGACCTTGTGCTGGGAGAGGAAACACTAGAATGTGAATTCTACTGGTAGCCATTTCCACCGATTTCCCAAAGCCAAGGCTAGCTACTTAATCCTACACTTCGTGCAATAATAAAATATAACGGTGACATTGTCCCCCTCAAAATGATTCAATTATCCTTTCAAATTTGAAGAGGACTATTATTTTTGGATGACCAAAAAAGAAAAAGGTGGATAATTAAATTGGGAAGCCACGAGTATATAATTGAAAGTCAGGATAGGATAAGATTTAAGATGAAGGATTGTACTATGTATTTGGAATGGTAGGTTAGATGTAGCTTTAAGTATGTTGTACAAGGGAAGCTGCCCAATTGAGCGAGTGAAAGCGCCATCTATCCATTCCAATCACATGTTCAAGAATGCTTGTTGAGTAGGAGGTGCTGGACGAAATGATAACATTAATTAAGAGAGAAAATGAAAAAAAGAAAATGAGAGAATAGTGTTAATGAAAAGGTGGACAATTAAATTAGGACAGAGTAAGTATATAATTGAAAGTCCAAGGATTGTAACATATATACATGTTGATTGGTAGGTTAGACATAGCTTTATGTATGTAGTATAAGGGAAGCTGCCTAATTGAGTGAGGGAAAGCTTCATCTATCCACTCCAATCACATGTTGTAGAATACTTGTCGAGTAAGAGGTGCTGGACGGACGACCTAGTTACTTTACTGTGTTGCATGGAGCATGCACGGGATTATGTTTGGTACAATAGAAAAGAAACGAAATGATAACATTAGTTAGGAGATAAAATAAAATAAAAGAAATGAGATGATAGTATTAACTATTTATTGTGTTTGATTAATTAATTAAGGAAAAGAAAAGAAATGAAATGAAATGGTAGTTATAATGTTTGGGGGACAGTATACAACTATACCCTTTCTAATAGATTTTATCTTTATAAATATAAGGGCAAATTTGATATTAACACAGTTTCATTAAAAATTATACCCTTTCCTTTCATTAATTTCCTCCCTTTTTGGAAGGATAACAAAATTTTTTATTCATCCCTTATTGTATCTCTCTAAATCATTCATTTTTTTTTTTATTTATTCTTTTTATTTTTTTCCTAGTTGACACTCACACGCCCACTCAAGCAGTGTACATTATACCCTTTCCTTTCATTAATTTCCTCCCTTTTTGGAAGGATAACAAAATTTGTTATTCATCCCTTATTGTATCTCTCTAAATCATTCATTTTTTTATTTATTCTTTTTATTTTTTTCCTAGTTGACACTCACACGCCCACTCAAGCAGTTGTTTGCACCTAAAATGAGTTGAACCTTAGACCTGATACTTCTTGAGGCAGCAGAGTTAAGTTCTTACCCACTTGAGCCAACTCCTTGTGGTTGTTTCCTTTCTTTTCCTTCCAACATTTCATATCAAACACAATTTCTCGTCTCCCTCCATTACCTTTCTTATCTTTTTCCTTCCAATTCCATTGTACCAAACTGGCCCTCAAAGTTCCACACTTCTGTTTCGTTTGGTAGGAATTAAGGAAGAGGAATAGAGGGGAGACAGGAAGGAAGAAACAAAATTCTTTAATGTGTTTAGTAGGGAGGAGACAAAGAAGGAAGAGAAAATATGATGGATGAGTCATCCTTCTTGCTTCATAAATTTTTATCCCTCCAAAATTGGATGGAAGACAAGAAGGAAAAGAAGCAAGACTATTACGAAAATTTTAAATTATAATACTACCCTTTATAATAATTAGTTCAACTCATTATTCGTAGTCTCATCCATCATTTCTTCTATCATTTTCATCTAATTTTCTTCATTCCTACCAAATGGAGAATACTAGTTTAAGAGTCTCAGATGATCACATCCCAAAATGGAAGTCCAAGAAAAAAAAAAAAAAATTACAGCTAGACGTTGTGAGTGCAAAAACTCGTTTAACTTTGAAAAGTCAACTTATTATTGCATGACACTCAAAAACACGATTTGATAAAAAGATAGAACTATTGAGTCAAAGCTAAAAGTGATTAAGCAAAGATTGTATATCTTTATTCGAGGTCTTGACCTCTATTTATAAGTAATTTACAGGTAATTGAGTCCTTTTAGGACTCGCGCATTGCTTGTCCTTTAAGAATTTCAATCACAATATAATATTCTTATCGTAAGGATTTACATGATTTGGTTTCCTTAGATTTTAATCTTTTGACTAATAAATTTACTGCTAAAAATGGGCTTAGTAGTCATTTGGGCTTGGATTTCCATTATCTCGGGCCTTCTTGATGAGCCTCTCCCACCGTGCTTAGTTAATCCCATCCAATCTTTCTGTAGAGGTCCAAACTGAAAGTTGAATAGTCAGAGATTTTATGGTGGCCCCTTTTTCGTGCTGATGTGTCGCTCTTATATTGGTGGGAGAGTAATTTTCCTCCACACACATGAAATCAAGCATGCATTATGTAATACCTCTAATTTTAAAAGGATAGTCTCGTTATTATTTTAAATATTTTTAGTTGCATTTTATTTAATTATTTGATTATGTGGTTATTTGATTACGTGTTTAATTGAATTGTTTAATTAAATATTTTGTTTGCTTAAATGTTTTATTTGACTTAACTAATTAATTACAATTTTGTGCTTAAATGTTATTTGAATTAGTTGGTTTAAGTAATGTGTTGGTTATTTGTAATTAGTTGTAGATTAAATAATTAAATGTTTCTTTTTATTTTATTTTATTTTTTATGGTTAGTAGTAATAGTCCAACCAATTGGGTTCCATGGACTACTTGGATAAGGGGTTTAATGGGTACGAATAATTATCCATGGATAGTTGTATATGTATATATATATATATATATATATATATATATATATATATAAGAAAAGTCATTTAATAATAATCTGATGTATATTTATATAATAAGAATATACATAGATTATACGTAATATATATTTTAGTTACCTTTTTAGTATTTTAATTTTATTATTTTCTTTATTAATATGACTTGGATTGGGAAAAGGAATAGGGTTATTATTTAGCCTATAAATATATAACTATAGGGTTGAAAAAGGGGACTAGAAATATATCACATAATATATTTTAGAGAGAGAGAAAGAAGGAAGAAAAAGGAGGCTAGGGTTTTTTTATCAAATCCCTAAAGATAAGTTCTTGTTCAATACTTCTCCTTTGATCTGTGAATTATATATCTCTAGTATAATTTTAGGATTGTTTAAAGAACAATTAAAACTGAAATTTTATAATTTAATTGATCTAGAACATAGGTTTTATGAATTTTGTTCATAATTGTTCTTGTTGTATGAATCGATAAATTCATGAATTTGATCTGGTTTCTTTATGAATTTTTACATGTTTTAAGTGATGTAATTTTATATCTGTATATTGATGGGACTTAGAAACATGTCTTAGAACCCTTAAACAGTGAAGAATGGATTTATAGTAGAATTTCTGGGTTGAATCACGTAAACAGTTTCGATCCGCTGTTACAGTGCTCGAGCTTTGGAAGCAAAGCTCGAGCTATTGATGCAAAGCTTGAGCTATTGATTTAAAGCTCGAGCCATGGACAGGAAGCTCGAGCCATGGATGGAAAGCTCGAGCAATAGGGACAAAAGCTCAAGCCTTACCTGGGAGTTTTCGTAAACATCGTGTAAATTGTTTTTAATTGGTTTTGAGGGGTCTTAAACATTAAACAAGGACTAGGTATGAGTTTAAATAAATTCTAAACAAATTTAATTGTAACAATCCATGCTACTTGAATTCTTTAAGGAATGAATGGATTTAATCTTTTTAATTTGTTCTAGTAATTGAGATTAAATGTGTAGCATGAATTGTATTTAGAGAATGCTTACTTAACTGTATAATAAAATATCAACAAGTTTAAGATTTAATTTGTGTAGGATATATGATGCAAGAAGCTTAAATAAATTATAAGTCATCCCTATTTTGTGATAGCATGATATTCTGTTATTATGTTTATTTCTAGATTATTTGATGAACTTCTTAAATTGTTACATTAACTATTGGATTGTATTGATGTAATGCACCAATATGGGATGGTGGCATTCTAGCAACGGATTAATTTATCAGTTAAGTCCTACCTATTTTTGTATAAGTGAATAGATTAACTAAAATGTTAAGTCCTACTTATTTTCGTATCAGGTCAACTGAACAAGTTGGATGATACATCGTGGTTTACTTTATATTGGGTAGGATATTATATATATATATATGGGTATATGTCATGATATGAGCTTGAGACTCAGGATCAGTAGTTAGGATGCGCATATTGTCAGGGATGTATAGCTAGATATAGTGTAGTTGTATGTCTGATAGGTCTAGGTACTCATGCCCACTATATGTGCGTTTTGCATGCTTCTTACTATTTAGTTGAGACAACCCTATAGTCTAGTGAGGTTCCTTTAGTGTATATATGTATTTATGGATTATGTAATTATTGCATGGGTTAGCTATAGATATATAGTTTCTCCGATCTTTGTTTGGGTTGTCGTAGAAAGAACTTGTTCGTGAGCTAACCCACTATTATTTTTCAAATGTTCGTCAGTTTCAAACATAGAGCTTGTTCGTGCTGAGCTGAGACAGTCCACATCATTCTTCCAATTTTACGTAGAATTCTTCTTCATGTTTAGTTATGGATTTTATTTCATTTCAGTTGAGATTTTATTAGGTGTCCATTAGATAAATTCCCGAATTGTAATAATATTGAAGGTTTTGGTTACGTATTTGGAGGATTAATTATTTATTAATTTAAGAATTTATCTTAGTTCTTTCCCTTCATTTTGTATTCTGTGTTCGATTAAATACTTTAATTGTTTGATATCTCTCAGATCTGTGCTCGAACTTGATCACCCGTGACTCTAGAATCGAGAGGTATCACACATTATGAAATTGGTGAGATTGTGTGAAGGTAGGGTTTTTACCAGCTAAATTCATTCTACCTTAATTTTCAATCAAGGCCTAGAATATTTTACTTGCAACAAAATTTACAGTTAAAAGGAGAATCATTCTTTATGTGTAAAGCTTAGCTAAAGTATGGTGAACCAAACAAATAGGAGGGTATGGCTTCAATGATCGATTTAAAGTATCAAAATGGGTATTATGTTCTCTATTGTCACTCCAGCTGCCCCTAAATTTGCTAAATTAGCTAATCAAAATTGTGAATATGGTGAAATATCTTTAACATATAAGCATTAAACAATGAACACATCTCATATCTCTTTATACCAAAAATAAATTAAAATATTAAATTTCCATATACGGTACATGTAGCCAAACAT